TGTATTTTGTATTAAACACGTAGCTCTTTATTAATAGATATTTTATACAAAAATGAAACAAGATTGTATGCTGTCAGAATAAAATATACATATATATCTATGACATCAATCTGTTAAAACGACATCATGTTTATTACTATTGTTCTAAGTCAAGAATATTCTTTTTCTATTCATTAATAACGTTTCATCATGCTTTCAAGCGATCGATCAATCGATTAGAACACTGGCATCTTCGTCGTTCACTATCGTACGTACTAATTCTTTTTCCGGTCCATCTCATCTTATCTTCTTTCTCCCTATTGTCATTATTAAATCTCTTGATAATAAAATCATTCAGACATGGAATATATATATATATTCTCATACATATAGACATAACAACAACATGAAAGCTATCTACTCTCATCATTTTCTTTTTCTTTTCCTTTCCGGTTGAACATAAGATTTAACAATATGATTAAAAATACGATTTATTTTTTTCTAATTTTTTCTGTTCAAAGTCAAAGTAGTATTCCAATTGGTATGTATTAATAATTTCAATTAATCATAATAATGATATATATTCATAGGATGGTTTGTTGATAAAAAATCAATGAATAATGTAGAAATAAATACATTTTCTGAAGCTTTAACAGCAGCGATGAATTTAACTGATTCATTTTCATGGCCAATAGATCAATATTCTTTTCAATCACTTCATGAAAATGTTAATGTAAATATTTTAAATAACAATATATATGATTTTTTTCCTTTTTTAGGATGTTAATATTTATTCAAGTGTTCATCGAAGTACAAAGAAAAAATTTGAATTAAAATAAATCTTTTCTTGTTTAAATTTTAGTTTGTAATCGATTAGAATCCGGTGCAATTGGTACAATATCAAATATTGATAATCCTAAAACTCGTTTACTTGAATTATTTATGAAACGTTTACATATATCAATGATATCATTAAATTATTTCAATTATAATAAACAAGAATCAAGTTTAATAAATAAATTCTATCATTT